TAAGAGAATCATTTTTTGCACTGACAATTTCTTTTGTTTGTGACACGGATAAAAAAATTGTGCGAATAGCGGTTGTCTTCACAAAACAAAAAGCAGTGCATGTTTGTGCACATATAATTTCACACGCATGTAAAATGTCATATACAATGAGTGTGTACAAGAAGCATGATTGCTTATAATTTTCTCTATGTGAACAAAAGTCTCTAGGGATAAAGACTTAAATAGGATCAAAGTAAAGCTTAGGAATGTAAATAGGACCAGTAAGTTTTTAATCCGTGAATTGGACTATTTTTCAATCGGAGGACAAAAATACCCTCAAGCCCTTCGAACATATGGAATGCTTAGAGGCTGTTGGCTACAGTCGTGCGCGAACCTCCAGAGGACTCCCAGCTAGCTAGATCTATCCTCCGTACCTAATTCAGAGTTCATCGTCACCACAAACATCACAGTCTGCCGCTGTTGTCGTACCTCACCGCCTCTGCTACAACTTGTTGCTGCTTTGGCCGCACCTCTCCGATGCTCCCCCGTTGCTGCTAGAGCACCTCACTGCTCCGTCACACCTCGCCGCCGAGAGTCATCCTTTTCTTCTTCACGAGTCTCCATCTTAACATGCGAACTCTATAGTTACCATTGTGGTCTTATTTTCAATTTTCTCTATGTTTAACGCAACTCTGCACCACGGCCAAGGACTTCGTACCTGCAATTTTATCCCTTCAACTATTTCTCTTACCTCCCCCTCTTTTATCGATATCATGTGCTGTACTGCTATGTGTGCCTTTTGATGTTTCACTTTTCAAGTTCTTCATACTAATTTTGCTTTCTGTTTGAATTTTAACATTTTCTTGTTGATATGATATTCTGACCTATCATTTCTTTGCTTATTAGGCACACACATCCTATTAGATCCAAAGGAGAAACTAGGAAGAAATGCATTTTTGTTCTGAAGTTATATATGAGGAACCATCCTAAGTGCTATTTTGAGTTGGATTTGTGATTCAAATTTTAAAATGCGGAACCAAAATGAATTCGGGTTGACCTGACATATCTTGACACAATAGCAATGCCAATGACAATGTCATAAAAATGTCACCGGGTTAAGAAAATGTCACAATGGCAATGTCATTGTCGATACTATAAAATGACATTGTAATTATAATAATGTCAATAGCTATTATGACAATGTTAATTTAAAAAAAAATCAGGAGAATGTCTTAAAATGTATATAAATGTCACTGGTTAAGAAAATGTCACAATGGCAATGTCATTGTCAATGCTGATGAGTGCCCTTGATACCAACTGTGAGTTCCAAGTGAGGTAAAAGTCTAGAGGGGGGGTGAATAGACTTTAAAATCTTTTTATTTTCTTCCCCTTATTCTCTAACTGGATATGTTCCAACATCTTTTGAGAGATATTGAAACATGCAACGGAAGTCTTGACCTCAAGAGGATGACACTATATAGAGACAAAGGTTATGATCTTTTTAATTGTGAGAGAGATGGGTTAAACATTGTACAAATGTACGTGTTTGCCAAAAACAGAACACTTTTGGAAACAGGCTGCCGAAACCTGAAGGAGATGGCTGCCAGAATTCATTGGGAACTAACTGCTAAACCTTAGGAGCAGGCTGCCGAAATGTGTTTCTGTTTGTTTAGTTAAAGTATAGCACAGAACTTTCCTCTAACAACTTGAATGACTTTAGAATTAGTCTAACACAAGTGTATGAAGGATTTAAACCAATGGAGATATGTCACTTAGAAGAACAAATAACAAGGAGATGACTCATAGTGAACTGGGAAAGTTCACTGGACAGCTTAAATGAGCAAGCTACTTTTCTAGTGCAGTTGTGAAGGTGAGTGAGAACTGAAATAAGTGTTAGGTGCAGAATGTAAAGGTGACACACGATGTATCATGGTTCAGGGGTGGTGTAATCACCCCACATCCAGTCTCAACCTATTTCAGATGGATTTTCCTTAAATGTATATCCCATTACATCTAGTACCCAATCTACCCTTGGCCCAAGCGTAGATTGTGAGGTTTTTCATGAGGAACTTGAACACCGTTCCAAGCTACTCATGTCCTCCCAAGGTTTTTCACTAATGACATTGACTGACCAAGAGCTACTCATGTCCTTTCCCTTTCTCACCTTCTGGATTTGATCACCGAGCCCTCCAGAATGTCTAACACTAGTTTAGAATACATGGGTGTATTTTCTAAACTACCACCTAGTCTAAGCTCTATTGATTTGTATGAAACATAACTAGTCTAAGAGCATTAGATGAGTGGGGTGGCGGCCTAAGTGTAGAAGGGAAAACATCTTACTAGATTTGAGCATGAAGAGTGTGATTTCCTTCTATCCACTTGGCTCCTTTATTTTTTCACTTAATTACCACATTTTTCCACACTTGGTAATCCCGCACTCCTTCTGTATTTATAGACTTGATCACTTCATATTCACCGTTGGCTGAGAAAATGAATCTTGATCATTGCTTGATCTACTTGCTTTGTTCCACTTGACTGAGACAGCATGGTTTCTTCTTTTCACGTAGTGACAGGGATCAACTATCTTCAGCTCAACTTGTTTACACATTTCAATGCAAGATAAAAGATATTTCATCTTTATTTTCCTACGTAGAAATAGTATAAAGCGAGTGATATTTCAATGTTTCCTTACAATATAATGATCAAACACTAGCTTTTGTAAAATAAATTTATAAGAAATTCATAATGTGATAAAAATCTCTTATAAACTTTTTAACAATTTGTTCTTTTGTCTGCAAGTTGGTCTTTTGTATAAGTGTTTTGTGCTAAGAGAAGAGAGAATTGGATTTCAGACAAGTTAGCTGAAAACCCCAGTTTTCAGCTGGCTGCCCAGAAATCAGCTGACTACCGATTTTTGGAGTTTTTCCAGTTTAGCTCATTCCTAAACTTTGAATACCAGTTAACTCTTTTCGTACATTTTCTTCTTTTTTTGATCTTTTTCTTTCTCCTGTTTATGATACGTTTAACTTCTCTTTTTAGTACTCTTTGCTTTTTATGAGTACTTTATCCACTAAATATGGAGCACATTACAATTACACAAAGCAGAACAAAGTAGTAGACTAGTCTAATACAAGAATAATAAAAAGGGGTGACATCATCAAAACTATTACATTATACATCAAAATCTAGGGGACCTAACAGATGCTATAAAATGACAATGCAATTATGACAATGTCAATAGCTATTATGACAATGTTAATTTTATATAAAAAAAATCACAATGTCAAAAAAATGTTGTAATGTCAATTAATCACGATGACAATGTCATAAAAATGTCAATGATAATGTCATAAGAATGTCAATCATTATGAAAATGACTTTGTTAAAACTAATGACATTTTTATTTTCACCGGGTGCAACGTTTGCAAGACAAAGCCAATTCACATTCATCACTTTATACTTTATGTTTATTTTCTTGTTAATATATAATATAAATGATACAAAAATAAAGTAAATGTCTAAAAGGAATAAAAAATAACAATGAAGAAGCAATTAATATAAAAATTAAACAAAACAAACTAAAGTTGAGATTTGGAAAAGGAATTAGAAAAATCATTTAAATTTTTAACCAAACACAAGTGCTTTGGACTTCCTGGAGTGATTGGAATCACACGGACATGGTCAATCAAAAATTGACTGCTCATCTACGAAAGAAAAAAAAAAGAGACAAAGGCCATTAAGGACGGATTCGGAAGAAAAGAAACGAAGAGCAAAAGAGCCGCGAGAGAAGAAATAAGAAGAGGAGAAAGAGTAGGAGATGAGGAAGTGAAAAAGAAGAAGAGATTCGTAAGATTTTGGCTGGCGCTGCTGCAGTGGATATCTTTCCTCGCTGTCTATCGTGTCTCTAGCGTCCGCTCAGACGTGTTGTCGCCGCTGCAATAACCGCCAGTGCTGCGCGACCGCGCCGTCCTCAACCCATTAAGTTTCCGCGAGCAAGCCCTCTTGTCCCGTAAATTGCTCCACCCAATCCCTTGCCGTATGGCTGGATGTGTTTGTTGACTGAAAGGCAGAGGTAATACGGAGTAATATGATAGGGGTAAATTGGGAAGACACGGAAAAATAAGTCCTATTTAGAAGTTAAAAAACTTGGACTCCTACGAGTATTTAATTACATTAAGTTTTTTTTAGTCCTATTTGACACCTTTCTCAATTCTCTAAGTACTATACGTATGAGGGAAATGTGACGCATTTCTTGAAATAACTCAGTCATCATTATTTTCTTCTTATTGCTCATTTAATTTAATCATAACAAAAGCTTTAGTTTCTTTTATTAATTAGGGTATCCACGTACAATAGAAGGTTTCAAATTTTATTTTTGGAACGTCGACTTGGAATTGGTATATAAATATTTGTCATTTTATAATTATATTGTAGGGATCGGATGTGGCGTGTTCTTATTTTGATCCTCTTCTAATTAAATATATGCGTAGTAACATGATGAAATTTGACCTATAAACGTGACATTACATGTTATTAAATAAATGATGTGGCAAAGTAGCTACTAGGATGGCATGGATTAACTTGACACCATAATTATTTATCATGGAAGCTCTTAATAAGACTAAGTAACTCTTGTTTTGAAAATACAACATAACTGTTTAATTAGTTCTATGTTTAGTTTGTTTCCTTTATGCTTTCAGCTTTCATTTTTTCTTTGATGTTTAATTAGTTCCATGTACTTTCTATTTCGGATCTCTTTTTAATAGAGTTCCTTTCTTCAAAAAAATACTCCGTACGACATACGTCACATAACTACTTCAATTCATACTACGTATTTTACTCTTATTTTGAAGCTTTTGATTTTCACTCCAATTTTGAACAATTTCAATTCCTTTAATGTTCTAGTCATATTTAATTTAAGTAACTTTTTATATACAAATACAAATATGAGAGTCTTAGCCCTGAAGATATGATAAACATATATAGTACTTTGTACAACATTTCAAGTCCAGCTAGGAGCTGTTTAATTAAAATTAAATTAAGCATAAACATAAAAACATATCAACAATGCAAACAGAATGCGTCCAAAAAGCCGCCTAGTGTTAGAAGCTGCCTCCGAGGTGACCTGGTGGAAGTAAGGATAAGGAGTCCCTCCTTGTCCGGTGCCTGCTGGCGGTGTATTCATAGGAGGAGACGACGGTGGTGACATCCAAGCAGGCGTCTGCGGCGTTGATGGGGGTGGTGGGGAAAAGTATGGAACAGCTGGTGGGCTGGTCTGAGTAGGGGGTGGCATATAAGGTGGACTGTTCTGATCAGGTGTAGGGGGTGGCATTGATGGTGGGTTGTTTTGAGTAGGGGGTATTGGGGTGATGACAACTCCGCTCGGTCCCGGAGGTACGATGGAGTGGTGGTGTGGCGGAGGAGGAGGAGGAGGAGAATGGTGGTGCGGCGGTGGCGGCTGTAGCAAAGGCACTGAAGGTGGTGGGTTGTTTTGAGTAGGCGGTATTGGGGTGATGACAGCTCCGCCTGGTGCCGGAGGTGCGATATAATATGGCGGTAAAGGCGGATGGGAGTGGTGGGCCGGTGGGGGCGGCGGTAGCAGCGGTACTGAAGGTGGTGGTTGGGCGGCTCCTCCATCTGAGGGTGGTGTTAGTGGTGTAGCGCAGATTGGAGGGCAAGTATCACATTTACTGATGCAGAATAGATGAGGAGTTTGGTACACCTGAGAATTAACTCCAAGTAACATTATTGTGGATAATAATAAGAAAACCCATTTTGTTTTGAGGAAGAGTGGAACAATCATAGGAATTTTATTTTCCATTGATTTAGGTATGAAGAAATTAATGGATGATTGTTTGTGGTAAATGCGTTTTATAGCATTTGAGACTGTAATTTGTTTGTCAAGGATTTGTAATTTTTAATATAATGACTACATGCCTTGTGCATGGCTCTTGTAATAGGTAAAGAAGTTTTATGATTAAAGACTTCTTTTTTACTAGTATCAAATAAGGACTTCTTGGATTGAGAGTTGAGACTTGTGTAATCTAAGAATAGAATCCTCATTGTATATCTCGATAAAAAAAATTGTCACATATTTCAATCATACTAGGCCACCTTTTAATTAATTGTTCTAGTTTTCTTAATTAAAATCATTTTAAAACTATGCTTTCTCGATCGGTTAGCTAGGGATATGATTTAAGAGAATAATTCCAAAATCTTAATCTTCAAATTATTTGGTTAGCTACAACTCTGCAAAACTCATCTTTGGAGGTCATTCTCCGTGCGAATCCTTAGTTTGCATATTTATTTGGAAATTAAAGCAGTTATGTGTGTTAAAAACCAACTGCCAAGTACTTCTTCACCCACAAACTATATGTAACACATAGTTTTATTTTTCAATTCAGAGTTAAAGTACTTAGAACGGGTTCGGAAGAATTAAGTTAAATGATACCACAAATTTGTAATGTAAAGAATAGTTAAACAATTTTTTAAATGCAAGCATGATTTCACTGCACGGTTCATAAAATACAGGAAAACTTAAAAATAACAATTTCTTAAAAATCTCAACTATGAATTATTTATGAATAGTCCGTAGTCCCAACTATAAAGATCATTTGGTAACAATAGTCCCTCAAGTTGTGCTAGGTGTATACATTTTGAGGTACACCTCTTGTATATTCGGCTGTCTCACATATACGGAATTGTTTGTCTACAGACAATTGAGTAGAGTTGTCTATAGACAAACAATAATGTGTGTCTGAGACAGACGAATGTACAAAAGGTGTACATTAAAACCAAAATGTGTACACCAAACATTTTTCCATTTCATAGTCCCTCACCAATTACAATCTTATATTGCAAACATTTCAATGTGTACGAGTCCAAGTGAGAATTTACTTTTGAGAAGGAACTTTTTTTTAAAAGGAGAGAGTAATTGTTACCATCATCAAAGGAAAACTAATAAGAGGGGTAAGAATCCAACGAGTTATACATTCATGTGCTTAATTATACATTCATATCGTAGATACGAATGCTATGGACATTTGGTTCTGATGGAATATGGATCTATATCTTGAGGGATAATTAACCATGTTTCCTTTACATTCTAAGCAAAGAATAATACGGACTATTTATTCAAAAAAATGATCAGGAGATTCAATCTGGTACAACTAACTTTCATCTTCAAGCTACTTAGCTCAGAGCCAAAGATGCACATTTAATTTCTCAACATATGATGTCAAGAAATAACAACAACTCCCAAGCAGAGCAAGTTTTTAATAAGTATGGGTGGATTTGGTTCACTTCTCAAACCAAAATGAAAAAATTAATAACCGAACTGACTATTCAATCATATATTTTGGCCAAATTATCAAATTTGTAAAAAAGGAGGGTGGTTTTCGAAATTGGTAAAAAATCTCCTAGAGACAAATTGGTAAAAAGAGAAGTTCCGGAGCTTCTTTTTTTATTACTAACTTGTCTCCTGAGTTTTTTTATCAATATAGTAAACAGTCCTCTCTTTTTAACCAATTTAGTCATTTGGCCCATATACTTCTACAGACCCATACCTAACCAATATAAATCTGCTAAAATATTTTAAAAAACTGCTTCTTCAGGTCGATTTTACCCAATAACTGAACTTAGCTTCTCAAAGGTTAATGGTGTTAGTAATACGTCTTTGAATTCCTTGTAAATCATAGAAGAAATGATAAAAGTTTTTCCAACACCAATAAAATATGAAACAATAAAGTGATACATTAAAATCACATGTTACTTCTTCTATCAGATTGACATTTTAGACTGAAACATTGACGAGGTCTTAACATTATAATCAGAGGTAAATCTATCCATAGTCGAGGTGTGGCCCCTATGAAAAATGACAATAACGAAATGGAAAGGAATGATGACACGAGGTAGATGAATTTTCTGATCATGATGAGGGGTGTTAATGTTTTTCTACACCTAAAAAATACTCCCTCCGTCCCGTAATTAAGTTCCTACTTTCCTTTTTGGGATGGTCCATATTAAAGTTCCTACTTCAAATCTTTCCTTATTTGGCAAATGATTTACACCAAAACAATGTCAAACAGTGTTTAAACAGTGTCAAACAGTGTTCAAACAGTGTACTCCACAGTAAAGTCAAATTTATTTCTTAATATGTGTGAAGTCAAACTAGGAACTTAATAAAGAACCGGAGGGAGTATGAATTACTCAAGTAGTACCCCTCCTTTCTACTGCACTTTGCCAATTTTTCTTTATTGTTTATTCCAACTTTTTTCATTTTCCTTTTAAAGCAATAAATTTGTGGTTCAACTCATTTCTTTCTCTCCTGCACAAACCTGAGCTACACAGTTTTTACTATTCTAATTACACATCCAACATTAACTTGGCAAAGTTGAATGGGATGGTGTTAGTATATTAAGATAATGAGCTACTCATGCCATCAGAAAGTAGAACTTGTTTATAAGGCAATGGAAAATGTGATTCCTTTATTTCCTTCTACTTATCTCGGTGGTAATTAAATTACGAGTGGAAAGTAATTACCGTTGAGTCACAACACAGTTTGACGAACCCTTTTTATGACATTATTACTATAACAAAGCAGATTAGAAAAATATAATCCAAATAAAAACATCCAAAATGATTATGAATAAAAGAAATTTCCGTCATATTTAAGGATGGCAATGGGGGCGGGGCCCGTGGGGTACCGCCCCGTGGGGGGGAGTTGGAGCGGGTGGTGGGGTGGGGCGGGTGGTGGGGGAGATATTTTCTCCCCGCAAAAATATGGGGCGGGTGATGGGTTATGCACCCCCCACACCGTCCCCGCCTCGTCCCCCGTAATAATTAATAATAATAATCTCAATAATAATACTAATAATAATAGTAATACTAATACGAAGTAATTAAAATAGCATGGTGGTCCGGTGGGTTTAGTGGTTTCCTATCTAATGGATTGTGCGTAATGGATCTATCTAATTCTTGTTTAATAACTAAGCTATCTTGTAAAATTGCTTATCAAAATCATAAAGTAAAATGATTTTTTTAGAGATAAAATAAAATGAATTTGGGAAAGTTATAAAGTGATATCAGCTTAAACGCCTCAGGCACGGTGTGAAAGTTTTTTTCCTTTACTGTTATAATGCATTAATTCTTTTCTTTTGAATGTCATCTTTATGATTGTAGTTAGAGCTCTTAAAATTTGGTGATCATATGTCGTCCTAGATGCCGTCAAATGACCATGATTGATTGAATGCAGGGTTTAAGAAAATATTATAGAGCTAATCAATGCTAATTTAGAGTTTGATAAAAATTACTCCACTAATTTAGAACGCGTATAATGTGTTCTAGATTTGAAATGGGATGTAAGATTACATTGACACTTAAAAAGTAAAAAAAAAATGACTACTAGAAGTGTTGTTAAATTTTTGAAAAATTGTCAGAGTCTAAAATGATGTTAATTTTTGACGAGTACTTCCCCGTTGGGTATCCGTGGGTCTAGCGGGTCGGGGCGGGGGATGGGGCGGGTCGAATAGTTGTGGGGGATGGGGCAGGGGTGGGGGCGATTTTTTAGACACGGGGCGGGGATGGGGGAGTGAACCTCCGCCCCAACCCCGCCCCATTGCCATCCCTAGTCATATTAGAACAAAATTTGAATACTCCCTCCGTCCCTTATAACTTTGCCAACTTTCCTTTTTTGGTTGTCCCAAAAACTTTGCCACTTTCCCTTTTAATCAATCAATTTGAGGCTCATGTTATTTCTCTCTCCTCTACACAAATCTATACCACACAATTTTTACTTTATTATTCTACGTGCCGGTCAAACTTGGCAATCCTTTTAGGGACGGAGGGAGTATAAAACACAAACAACAGATGCTACAATTAATTACTCCGTATATTGAAGGGCCGGTGAATCCGGTGATAAAAGGCCAAATAGCAAAAGCAACTGATACGTTTCAAGTTTTCAACCACATAGCTAATTAGCTATTATGGGTCACATGTAAACTCTACAAACATTATTTATATATAACGAAATTAATTAAATTAACTGAGTCATTATCTTCAATATATAAGAGGTCTCAATGTAGTAAAAAAGTGTCATACAGTTTACATTAAATATTTAAAACAAACAGTGTAAAATGTTTACGTTCCTATATTTTGCGCAATGTGTTTACTTTACACCGTACCAAACGGGCCCTATATGGATAATACATGTATTAACTATAGTGTATGAATGAAAGTTCATAATAGATTTTAGTAGTCTTGTTTGATTATTATCAGATTTTTTTGTTAATTATATCAAAGCTTAAGTATTTTTATATTCAAATTAATTGAGGTTATCTTCTTTCGTGTTTTATAGATATACAAAACTTCAAAGTGGTGTATGAGTCTAGGATCGTGAGGTCGTCTATCGATGTCACCCACCCCATGTGCTTATGATGTATTTTTTTGGGAATTTTAAGATATGATGTTGACAAGTCGAGTTATTCAATGACAAAAAGATTCACATAAACTGAATAGATCGTTTCACTAATCATGTATGTGAGAGGTTTGAAATAGATCCAATTCTGAAATTCTGAATTTATTCATATAAAAATTGACATATGAAAAATAAAACAATGAATTCGAACCATTATTTAAAACTAAAACTCTAAAAGAGATATAATTACTAGACAATAAATCTGAAATAGCATCAATTAGCTATGAGATCCTTCATATGCCAACTTCCTTTCACCATCCCCACCACCACTTTCAATACATTTTCGCCTAATTCTGATGACCCAAACGGCAGTAACGTTGGGATCACCAAAAAAAATTATCTTGTAACTGAGGCGGGCATGTCCTTTGAGGCTTTGACCCGTTTTTTAATTAAACCACTTTGCATTTTTATACGGAGTATGTATAAGTGTATAACCAATAAGTGAATAAAACATACTACGTGTTGGTCCAAAATAGGACGCTCGTAGGCTTTTAGGAAAGCTACGTAAGAACACTCAAGCAGAAATCAGGAAAGCAATGCAAATATGGAAAGTAGCTAGAGAGT